TTTATAGCGAAGCCATATGGCATAAATTCTGGACGTCACTCATTATATATTAAGTGGCATGACTGCTTTCCTTCCTTCTTGTTTATCTTTGCAGTTGTTATTCCCATAGAATGCACACTCAAGCATCGAGGTTTTTGGCATAGAATTTATTTCTGGAGAACTAGTAAACTGGGATCGCACGGACTGAATCCTTTTGTTATTTCACAGTAGTCAGTCCATACAGTCTGTTTTAGGTAGGATTTCGAATGCGACTAGTTTCACTGTGTGCTTTACACCCGATAAATTCGAAGCACCGATTTCTTAACTTTAGAGAGGACAACTCTGGTTTGTTGACTTTTGTTTATCCAGGTAGCTGCATAAGTTGTGACAGAAGAAGCGAATATACATCAGGGTGCGAGCATCTTTTGCGTCGTTATTGGAGTCAGAAGCTGAAATATCGTATGTATGTGGTGACTGTAAAAGTATTCTTGTCCTATGGTTGTGAAACCCGGCCATTTGTGTCCGAAGCATTTAAAAGGTTTCAGCGTTTTGTCATCGTTGCCTTCACACCATGGCATGTGCTAGCTGGCTGCAGCACGTTCGCAATGAAGTGCTGTGTAAGCGAGTGCTTAGTGGAGTCGAAACCACTACAGTAGCAAGTAGAAGTCAACAGTTTAAGGTTGCTGGGATCGGTAGTGCGCACACACATGCATTAATGTGCTGTTATTTCGTCATCAGCGACAGCGTGACATCAGTGGTCGGCACTGCTTTGCTGCTGTACAACTATGACAGTTCATTGTTGTACATGGGCTGGGATATCATTAGGGCACCCACACCTAGACATAAGGTCGATTAGGCCCATCAATCAGAGCCTTTGGCTCAGAAGCCTGACCGCAAGGCAGCGGTGTTTGGCTGGAAATGCAAATGCATTACCGTTTTTACGGAATAAGTCGCCGCGCATGTTCCAACACTCAACCTGGAGATCCAGGAGACTGTTCGTCAGACCTCTAATCATGGACCAACCTGGTATGAGAGACAGCGGAAACCCCAAGTATCGCCTAGGCACACAAACCCACACCACTGTAAGGTCAAGTGTCTTCATCATGGTCTGTTATTCCCTAGTCGCTCAACATCATCGGAGACCAAAGTCAGCATTGATATTAATGCTTCGTTGCCGGACAAACATGAGGTCAATTCATTTAAAGCCTCAACGTAAAACAAGAGGAGTGAAGCGATGTGGTGCCAGCCAGTCGCAAACATTCTGTCTCCAGCCAAGTGCAGGGGGGCTCACGGGGCGTGGAAAGTGCACCGCACCAACAGCAAATAACTTCCTAGCCTCTTTCACACTCTTCCGCCAAGTCTTACGTTGTCGGCGCATTCTGAACTATCCTGAAGAATACACGGGAAACGGTACATGCCTCTATGTGTAGCACCTGACCGAGCCACCGCAGTTGGTGCTGCTGGATTTTTTTTCCGCGACTGAGGCGCCTGCTGCACAACCAAATGCGTTTTCTGATGACCTCGTCTCGATTTCGATGACACTCGACACTAGCAACGCTTGTGAGATATTGGCGGTAAACTCCCGGGGACGTTTCGTGTCACCCATCTGGCAAGCTTACAAGAATGCCACCCTTACTGTAGACTGATGCGTGATACTTGAGACCCAGTGATGCCTTTTTGGTGTCACAAGTAACACTAATTAGCAAACGGGGTTCGGGCTTTTGAGGTTTGTGCACTTACCTAATCACATATTCCCGTCAGGTCTAGTACATTCACCGATGTATGTGAGATTTTGTGCAATATCGAGTGTCCCTACTTCAATTTCAGAGGGGCATGTTTAGAGGTGACAAGATCTGAATCCCAACTTTGTACTTTGAAGTTGCAAGCCATGTGCGAAAAGATTGTCTGCTGGTGGTCGGTTGATTCAACAGTCTGCTTGGCCTTCGTCTCCAAAGATGAGGGCGATATCTGCGCACTTCATATCGATGAAGCTCTCACCAACAACAAGGGTTTTAGAGACCCTCCAGCATTCGCCTCATTTCATCAATGATGAATTTGAACAAGAATGAAGAGAGTGAACATTTTTTAGGAAACCACTTTATTAGGGAATTTTCTCGAGAACTCGCCACACACCCGCACGTTCAATGACATGTGAATATAAGGATCGGATTGTGTTCATAAACGTCTGGGGCGTCCTCTTTTGAACAAGTGTGTTTAAGAGCACCGGTTGATTGACTGAATTGAACGAATCATTTGAAGTTGAGGAGCACCAAGATTTCTGGTCGGGTTTAAATATGTGGTCGGCGCAGTCTTCACTCGGTCGAAATCCCGCTTGATGCTCACGGTTCAAGGTTTTGCGTGCCGACATAAGATGATGCAGGATTAATGACTCCAGAAGCCTTGTTTTGGCCCAAAACAGACGCTGTTGTAGTTGCTGCATTCACTGTGAATATTTTTTTATGAAAATGGACAGTAAAAATCGTTTACCTGTAACACCTTTGGTGGCCAGCTACCATGCCATCCGAAGGAAGCACGAGGGCTGGAGTACTGCTAGGTTGCCAGAGCCTAGACAGCGGAAGTCGAGATGCAGAGGCCGGGTTCGAACTGCGGAACTTTTGGTCAGTACATTCGCGTTCTAACACTGCTGCTGACTGACTCCCAGCTAGACACAAATAAGCCAAACAGGCGCTGGTCGTGGGATTCACCGAAGTCATTGAACAGAGCTGGGCGAGGGTCGTCGGGACCAGGCGCAAGGTGACGCTTGACTAGACGTACATTCGGACACGTTTGGGGCTGAAGGGAGTTCGATATTTGTAGTCTACGTTTCTGTTAAAAGCCGAAAGTCTGGGTTTGAAGTTTTCAGGTGGCCAACCACATCGTCAAGTTATTGTATCCAGCAGTCCAAACGTGCTTTTTGCTGCACATTAGAGACCCATGTTCCTCCTGGCTGTTTTGCTGACAAGACTTTCGAAGACCATTCGAATAAGTCAAGTAGAGCTAACAGCGTGGAGTCGCAACATTTTCCACATTCCTTTGATCTTTCGGATCTACCAGGCATCCCGGTTCATCCGGACATTCCGTTTAATCTGGTGTTGAGTTGAGTTGTGGTTGCGAATAATAATAATAATAATAATAATAATAATAATATCAATACCCGTTCAACCGTAACGCCTTTTCGTGGCTTAGCTGCCATGCCACCCGAAGAAAGAACGAGGACTGTAGTGGCCTGCTGTTGCCGTCGGTAACTGCTAGTGAGGTGGTCTATTTGGATTCGGGGCTCGTTCGTTGTCGGGCTCCACGTTTCCAAGCGATTTTCTCTGTTCTCGGAGAGGAACTCTGTGTGGTTCAGAGCTACAGTCTGTTATGGCGTAAGTAGATTGGAGGCGACGGACCTCATTTTCAGAGGCATCGCCGGATGAACCGCGCAGAAGTGACTATCAACGGGTATCCAATGAAGTAGGGACGCTTCTGATCGATGACTCGCCACAGTACTCACGCCGGTATTCCACGTTCTCAGAATTGCGTATGCGGAAGCTGGAAGAGAGCAAGAGGGCAATCAGTCAAGTTACAGCACTTGTGTCTTGTATCCTTGTTTCCGGCAAACAGCATGCGCTAGCGTAGAGAGAATCCAACGTACTAGAAATTACTGCTCTTTGTCCTGCTCGCCTCAGTGTGCGGACATTAAAGGCAGCTAAGTAGATCGACTGCCGGGGTTTGGATACAGGACTGTTAGTGAGGTTCGTCGCACAGAAGCTGCAGCTAAGGGTGTTATGTTGTGGACAAACCGGTCAGTCCTGATGCTGAGACCTTAGAGCGTATTCAAATCGGGGTGCGGTAGCGTAGAAGAGGGAATACGTAAAATTGTAAGAAGAGAGGCGTCAACTTTAGTCTGTTTTCACCTACCCACCCTGGTGTTTGCAGCAACTAAGACACTGTGCAACGGCCAACATGGTATAATATATAATTGTTGGAGAATACATTACATGCTAACCCGACAGTCACTAATAGGGCACTTCCAAATGCACTTTGGACCTAATGATTCGTGAATGACAACAGGTTTTCATATCAACTCCTAACTGGAACGTGAGATCAACGTGTCGAGCTGCAAACGCATTGGAATGTTGATAAAAACTGTGAGTTTTTTCCTTCGGGATTCAAGATCAAATTGGAATGCTGCAAACAGATTGGGACTACAGATTTTTCTTGTACGGCTGCTTTCTGACTGCGCTGCTCATTGAACTACTGGCGCTCTTTTGACGTTTCGATACCACGGAAATCTTGGTGGCCCCACCAGTGATATGTCGTGAGTGGACTAAAGCGTGCTTAGTTCCACGTACCGCAGGACCAAGTCGATGTTGGTGGTTTTTCTCATATCTAAGGTTCGCTTCAATGCCATCAAACCACTGGAACTAGTAGGTCGTCACGTTTGCCGTACCATTGAGGTATATTGCTTAAGATTGCGCAAACATTGATGTTCGACGGTGAGTACTTTCACGGTAGCGTCCTCGTGGATATGATAATCGAGTGTGAATATCTTATTCATGCGAAGACTGAAGACTAGACACAAAGGTTAGACACTTGAACTGATTCTGTGTAAGTGACTTACTGCAGTTGGTTGGCGACGTCAGCAAAACTGACTTAACCGTTAGCGTTGCACTTCACCAGTTTGAGACAACTGTATCGTACGTTAAAAAGTTGACGCTGTTCACCGAAAATTTCATGCAAAGTTTAAATCCTTAGAATGTTTGGAGAATAAAATTCCTAAGCCAGTCATGCTCGAGGTTTCCAAGTTTCCGGATCCAAAGACGGGATTTCTACGCATCATCTTCGTCAGTAAACTCATTCTGGAAAGTATCTTCCCGACAACTGTACCATGAATAAAATGTGAGGTAAGATGGTGGTTTGTAGAGAAATTCGGTAACAGTTGCTGCGATGGTATCAGCAAAATTAACTGAATGGAACTGATAACTTGGGCCAGAGACTGAATGAGTCGCAACTGTGATTGTGGCTGTTGAAGGATTGCTTTGAAATCCTTAGCTGAAATTAACATGCTTGGGTTGGTGTTGGACTCCCGTCACCAATCGTTACGGTCTCTACTGATATATCGATCAGACTTTTCAGTTACACCGTAATCGAGGAGAAAAAACCGTAAGGGAGATGTACTCGTAACAACTGGCCATCCGTTATATGGATTCGAATGAAGCAGAATGTGAAAGAGCGAACAGTCTAGTAGGATAGGAATGAAGGGCTGAAATGAAGAAAACAAGATTTCAGTCTACAAGGTAAGTTATTAACAAAATGAATTTGTTATTTTGCTAGCAGTCTTCCAAACAGTGTACTCAAGTCTTCTTAATAACTCTCCTTTTATCGACAGCTCTTTCTCTGGTTGCAGTTAATTGTCTCTTGTACGTAACCGAACGTTTCGGCTTAAATGGACGGCATTTCGGGCGAGGAGAGCTGTTCTACACAAAACAGCAAGGCTGAGGAGGTGGAAAAGTCCGCTAACAAGAAGAAAAAGAAACCGAAGGAATTTGACATGCCAAGTGATGTAACTGAGGAAAACATGGAAGTTTCGGAGGACATCTCACCAGAAGCTTATATCCCTGGTCGATCGAGACCACTAATGGAAGACGAGCAGCTTGTCATGGACAAGTCTTCTTATCGGTTGTTTTACGATCTTCAGCTAGAGTACGCCAGTCTCAGCTTCGATATTTTGCTGGATAATTTGGGTTCAGGCAGAGAGGTGGAAGTCAATGGATCGGAAATAAGTGCATCCCTACTAGCTGGCACTCAAGCAGCACCGGGAATGGGTGATGCCCTTGTCGTTTTACGTATGAGCAATATGAAACCCTTTCAGAGGAAGGTAGGTTTTCCTTTCTTGCTCACGATGGCTTTTTTATACCCAAATCTACCCGCATAGTTTTGTTATCATCTGCTGTCTCAAGCTCATGCTTAGGATACTTTCGGTTCTGCGAGGTGTCTTCAGATGTCTTTTTCAATGATTAGCACTTCTAGGTTGGGATTCTCGGCCTTCCCTCCAACCCCAAGCGATGGTCGTTTATTTTCTACTTCATTCAACTGTACCGAGAACCATTTTCATTGTATTGTTTTTTAGCTCGGAAAACAGGATATCTAGAATGATGTACGTTCGTGTTTATTTTTGTTAACACAGACGCTTTTTCCGGAACCGGACGCACTACCGCTTTTGCGTCTGTGAGTCCCACCTAAACCCGAGGGAACAAGATCTCATAGAACATGCAGACGTATGTTAAGGGCCGTGAGTCGATCTAGACACAATGGCATTGCAGTGAACACCAGTGCCGAATGAAATATTGAGGTGCTAGCGTCATCTGTCAACCCGATTACGCTTCAGTGCAGTACCGCGCTTCCTTAACGCTATCATGCAATTGTATTTGCTTGAGGATTGCTCAAGGTGATAAATGAGATTTAGGTGTAGGCATCTGTTCTCGGTTGATACTACCACTACTAATAATAACGTAACCCTTCACATCTGATACCCCTTGGATGCCATGCCACCGGAAGGAAGCACGAAGGCTGAAATACTGCCAGGTTGCCCAAGTCTAGACATAAGCAGTCGGAAAGCCGAGGTTGGGTTCAAAGCACGTATCCTCCGTTCAGTAAGTTTGTGCCTTAAACACTGAGGTTTCACACCTGATACACCATAGGAACTGTAGTTTCCATAAGCTCCCCCCTACGCATTCAGACACGTCCACCCTTTAGATAAATTCATTTTATGTTCGTTGTCAATCGCTTACGAGTGGGGTTTTTGTATGCGCCACGCCTACATGTATGACCCTACGTCAGGCGCCGTCGTCGAGATCCATATTTCATCATGATCTGAAGCCAAGATTGATATTTTCAACCTCATATAAATCCTAAAGCCACGCACCCAATTTTTCAACTGCCTACATAGCAATCGTTTTGGAATGTGATTCAATCCCATGTGTATAGCACGGTATAACCTGCACAGCCGGTCTTTGGTATGTGTACCTTTGACCCCATGGATACTCGTGTTCCTGATTGCTAGTCACCTCGATTACATGCCTGTCCTTCATCTCAAGACCTCATGCTCCGAAGCACCATAGTAAGATTCAGCGCAGAGTCCGTCTCCATTACCGCTCTCCTAATTACTCATCTGGTCTCGATTTGTTTTCATGTTTCTGAAAATCTCGCACATTGATTTTAAACAATAGTTGATCTCACTTGGTAGCTATCTGCAAATGAACAAAATATTACAGACTAAAATTCCTCGTGCAAAAGCAACTGAGCGTGGTACTGAAGGACTGTCCAACGTGCAGTATGGCTTGTTCTCTTTCTGATCGAAATCCCAGTAGATCCCATGATCAGAGGCGTCTGGTGGGCGGAAGGTAAGTGTATGGTCTTTGTTACTTGAACTTTTATTTATAATCTGGAAGTAGTCATCATTGGGTACTGTCGTTTCACAGTCTTTGTAGGTGCATGCGGGAATAGTATCCTCATTTTCGGGCTTCTTGTTCTTCAGTAGCTTGGTCATTTCGCTTCGTTCACCTTGAATAGAGCCATCGCAATCAACGGCGTATGGTGTGCAGGTTGTGATTTATATGGTGGATGGTTAGTGGTTTGGTGGGTGATTGAGCAGCGAGCTGAAATGTTCAGCCCATTCCCTTAGCCTTCTCACACAGTCCGTTTTCAAATAACCCGGCGTCTCGAAAATTACTTTTCTGACCTTGCCTTTGGCCTGAAGCGCCACGGATCAGCCGGAAAAGGTTAGGACAATTGCGGGAATTTACAATTTTTCCATGCTAGAAGCCGTTTCCGACCAGCAATTCCATAATCTTTCGGAACTGGACAGTCGTCTTTGTTAGGTGAGCTGCGTAAATTGGCGTCTTGCTAAGGGAAGTGGATAGTCCTTTCGGAGATTCAGTGTTTGTGGCATCCATACGTAAATCCTGGGGGCGAGATGACCCAAGTGGTTAGAGCGCGAATATACTGACCGGAAAGTCCGTGGTTCGAATTCGACCTCCGCCTCTCGACTTCCCCTGTCTAGGCTTGGGCAACCTGGCAGTATCCCAGCCCTCGTGCTTCCTTCGTGTGGCGTGGCAGGCAGGCACCGGAAGGGTGCTACAGCTGAACGCTTTTATACGTAAATCCAGGGTTGGTTTCGGTGGCATGTTGTGTGGACTTTTTGTAAACGGGGCCGGCAGTCGTCGACGGAGACTGAGTGAACTCGGAGAATTGGAAACTTGCCGATATGCTAACTGTGATCTCATTCGAGAATTTGAAGCACTTTCCGTTGGCGGCTCACGTTGACCCGTAGTTTGTGCCAGTGGGTACTATGAAGTTTAATCCTCACGTACAAGTGTAAATCTGAACCGCATTTGTCCCCGGTTTCTGCTCCACGATCTTCAACAGACGATGCCTATCTGAGTAGTGTAACTAATTGGAATGCAGTACAGTGGTTCACTGAGTTACGAAAACCATTGCACTACCATTAGATTCAGTCTATTAATACGGGCTACTAATCTTGTTGAGTTGTGCTATTGTCCTTAACTTGAGGGCCGAGATGGCTCAAGTGGTTAGAGCGCGAATTTACTGACCGGAAGGTCCGTGGTTCGAACCCGACTTCTGCCTCTCGACTTCCCCTGTCTAGGCTTGGGCAACCTGCCAGTATCCCAGCCCTCGTGCTTCCTTCCTGTGGCATGCCAGCCAGGCACCGAAAGGGTATTACAGCTGAACGATTTCGATTTTTTCCCCTTAGCTTGAGAAGCTCCCATCGGCTGACCATTTTTCATCCGTATTCAGACAGCTTTGGGTGGGGAAATGGGAAGATAGCATGGCTCTGCTAGAGTATTCTGCAATTTACACTAGACTCTCTATTAACCGTACATTTGGCTTGTCTGTTGTACACCTTGGCACTGCTACCCGACCACTGGCTTGATGGGAGCCACCTTTTCCGAGTCTCATTGTTCGGCTGAGTGTACACGAGCAGCAAAAACTTTGTCAACAGCCTGGCTTCTTTTCAACACTAGAACTGATGAGAAAAAAGAGAGTACCGGACATGTAGACGACCTCAGCCGCACTGTAGGAACAGAAGCACAACCATTGACGCACTTCCATTTTCCACTTCTCTCCATAACATTGCACTAATGATACCACTTCGATTTGTGGTGAAACGCTGGTGCTCTTGCCCAGCTCAGTGAACGAACCACAGCGCCCTTGTCGAATGACAATTTCGGTGCATCAAACAAGACAATGTGCTTCCTATGTACGGTCTCTACTTCAAAGTGCGCTCTGAACCAATTTACTACTGACGTTCTCTTCATGTTGCAACGTGAAATAATTATTTTGCTTATGAGATAGTTCGAAGTGTAAGTGTTCTAGCCGCTATCAGTTTTTACGTGGCGCAGTCACAGGTTATGGTGATCGCTGATTCCCTCATTGACTTGCACAGTATCGCTTGTTATGTCAGGGTGAACAAAGTTATCTTCGTTGTGTGAACACGCGTTAGTCCATTGACACGAAAACCATAGGGCGAAATAACTGTTGAAGAACTTCTTTGGTTCTGGGCGTTGCTCCTCACAGCTGGAAGTGATTAAACATATAGAATGCGTCAGTCGACGCACGCTGTCATTCTAATGGTCATGAATATGTATGTCGCTTCGTATATCTCTGTGCTAAATATCACAAAAGCGAGTGTACCACCCAGGGTTAGTTCGTCCATCCGTCTGCACTGTGTACTTGAAGTTGTTGTTGCTAAAAATAAACGCGGTGAAGCTGTGTCCTTCCAAGCCAAAGTGATTCACGCAGTCGGCCTCATTAGCAGAGTTATTCTCTACGCTCTTACAATACTTGTTTGACCACTTCCCATGCCCTTACATAATTATCCTGATTAGTCCACATAAAAGAGGGGATGGACTGGACTCAGGCTTCGCTCTAGTCAGAGCTCATCGAGAGCTCATATCCCTTGGCCCTTGTCAAGGAAACAACCCAGTATCACCTGATGCTGTTCCTTGGTGGAGATGATTTTTCATTTGCCAATATAAAGTAAATCAGCCGAGTTAAGATAATGGTGTTGAGCAATGAAACACTTGAGAACCGAAGTTAGGACAGTCCATCCCAGGACCAACTAGAAGCAGTAGCTGAAGTTTCTTCCTTGTCGCGTCGCCCTGTAGAAATTGAGACAACACGGTAGCGTAATATACGGCGGTGTTTGTCCCTTCGCAAGTAGTAACTATGCTGAACATGTTTTTGCATCCGCCCACATGCAATTTTGTTCTCAATGCTCGCAACTTCGAGTCATTGTCGGGCGTTCCTGTTTGGAGTGTTACTGACGGAGCAGGAATCTGCGCACTACACTGTTGTACTGCTTTGGGGTGTGTGGTCGGTCGATTTTTGTCCCGCCAAGAGCAAACGTTTTAGCAATATATTTTGGCCAAAATGCGACCCCGCTCATTCGACCATTGCCTTCAGACCTTGTATTTCCGTTTGTGACTATGCCGGCCGTCAATAAAAGGTGGCATACGGACCTTCAGTTGGTGAATCATTCGTTTGGCTAGGAAGCGTTTTGAATTCCAGGGATGGTCATCCAGAGGATACTGAATAGCCGCGCCAACTCAAAAATGCCTCCATACTGAATAAAATTGATGCCATAACGTCACATATTCTTCGGCGTTTCTACAGACTACTTCGCTGGTGCTGGTGTTATTCTGTCGCAATCACTGCTAGCCATTGTGTTTTGGAATAGGCTGCTTCAATTCTTTTGAACGGCAGTGACCACTGAACCAGTGTCCAAAATGATAATGTAAGTACACGTGCTTGTGTTGCTTAGGCTCCTAAGAGTCAGCTAGGATGCTGTTTGAGTTATGTGATTTTGTGAACTTCTGCCACTTTTTTATACTTCGAATGTACCTTGGTGGTGGTACTTCAAACTCAGGTATGTTGGACGGGCGTATACAGTTCTGCTTGTTGCTGATGGAATGTCAACGCACAGAATATAGCCCTCCCGGTAGTGTTTGCGTGCAGTCAATATTAGTGATTAGCGTGTGTAGTAGCCTCGACCAGTCGCATATCCATTATTTACCTACCCTATTGACTTGTACCGGAAGATTGTTCGTGCGAGCAGCCGCGTCCTTTCCAAAAGCATCACTCTAAGGGGTACCGTGTCCCTCCGGACAGAAAAATGTTTGAATCAGTTTACTTCTATCTCGGATGTATGCTCTTTTGAGGTTCAAATCCCGTTCCGGCCTCTAAGTTCTAGATGAGCGATTCCCCGCCTTGGTGTGAGCAAATCAGAATAATTATGCCAGGACGTGATGAGAACTGTTCAAACAAATGGCGTGAGTTGAAACTTCACTTTTTGACTAACGCTGATATAAATCAGGTCTGCATAGAATGGTCACTCCTTATAAATCAGTTCTTGCATGTCCTTGCATACTTAGCTTTACAACCATGCCTTCTTAACTCTCCTTTGGTTGCGCTATAAAACGGTGATTGATGGCGCTAATTTCCTTTCCTTAGGTACATCCTGAAGATGATTCAGCGGACAAATCAGATGATTCGGATGAAAGTAGTTCATCTGACGAGGATTTGGATTCCCAACCTGAACTCGAAGCTGCAAAAATTCGGCACAGGGGCACTGTGAATCGAGTTCGAGCGTTTCAGTACGGCGGTCGATATCTGGCTGCATCCTGGTCAGAGGAAGCGAAAGTGAGCTCTATCCCTTTGATGTTACTATATGACAGGTCTACCGTCCTTTGATGTATTGATTGTCACGACAAACGCAGAATTGGTTTCAGAGTATGTTAGGTATGTGGGAAACATTCGCTCTCACCACAGATCAGCAACGAGTTTCGCCAGTACGGTGAAACAGCGACTGTTTTACTGAATTTTGTGGATTGCATGAAACCCAGTCATTCAGCTTTTTACGAATTACTTGGTTCTAGGAAATCCTGTTCGTTCTAAACTAAGTGCAAGATAACTGTGGCTGTATGAAGCTTTTTTGTTTTACAATCTCCCTCACTCAGAACCTTGGAGGGAATAAGCGAATATACACTCGTCTGCAAACTAATTTGGTTCTTTCGAGAGACTCACCTGGAACCCAGCTGAATTTCTCGTTTATGATGTTCTCAGGCAACTGAGAACTGGAGGGAATACTTTGTGTTTCTCTGAGGGGATGTCACAACAGAAATAACTTATGCTTTGTCTCCCAGTCACGTTTGACGCCCCATCACCACATCAACGGACTTGTATCAACTAGATTCGATATGGCTTAACAGGATATACAACCCTTGTAATCGGCGACGCCATCCTCAAGTTTGTGTTTGTCTGAAATGTCATCCGGTTTTTTAGCCACCTCTCATATTTCGTTATGGTGGTAGTTTAACTTCCCTCAAGGTCGTCTCCCTGAGGAGAACTACCGTGCTTATTTTCTCAAAACCAAATTCCTGGTTGTTTCGATTTGAAAGTTACTTCTTTTGAAATAATTTTCAGCCACCACTGAAGAAACACCGACAGGCTTTCCTGATGAATATTCTACTTTTTCTCTATGCTGGGGCCACATAATGCAAGCGAATTTCTTGCGGATGACCATAGAGCATAGGACTTATACTGCTCGTCACGTCCATGGTGACGGCTGTATGTGAAAGCAACTTCCTGCCAACTCTTGTTGTTCGTCTTTATTTTAACTCCTTAGTCTTCAGCTAATTTCCCTCAATCTTGGAACTATAATAAACCGCTTGTATCCACTTGATTCATTGCGTATCCGTTTCTCTTTCCACCTAGGTTTTTATCTGGGACCTCACCCGTCCCCTTACTGCTGTGAACGATTCAGCTGTAATGAGCGAGTATGTTCGATTCAACGAGACTCCTGTTCCATTGTTCACCAACAAGCGCCACAAAAGTGAAGGTTTCGCTTTGGATTGGAGTCCTCACCCTTTGGCTTCTGGTCATCTCGCTTCCGGTGATTGTGATGGAGTCATTTACCACTGGGTACCACAGGTATGCATTCCTATTTTCTAGGGGATTTTGATTCACCTCATCGGCTCATGACCTGCTTCACTTGGTGCATATCTTTCAGTGTGTCTTAAGAGGTTTGTTTTGCATCAAAGTCTTCCCATCAGAACAAACTTTCCCAAGGGAATAGAAATCACTGATGATGAGCAGCAAACAGAAAAACTGCGTCACATTACCTTGTCTATCACAACGCTTACACTAGAGGAGAAATAGATCTTATTGAGGATATAGAGTTATTTTATTCGGGATGTCGGTTGCTGGGAGACTTGTGATAATTTTATAACTGGTTTTAGGAATCGCAGATAGATACTTCAAACGCCACAGTGCATTTCGTTATTAGCCTCCAAACAGGTTCGGTTTTTGTCTCATCCATGATCGCTTAGGGAAACCAGACTTGAAATTCTACGTTTGCACAAATATACGTACTACATGGATGACTACCTCTACTAGGGGGTGTGAGTAAATTTCACTGAATGTGATGAGATGTGGAATCTCGTAACAGTACGCTTTCGACCTGACGATGAGGATGCTGAAACCAACTTTCGATTCCTAGGCTGTTGGCCTCGGGTTTGTTGCCACTTTAATCACTTCTAAGCTAAACTCACTGTAGGATCTACTCTACCATCGATTATTCCCCAACATAGCGAGTGCAAAATTGTAAGTTGAGGCTAAACTTGCCTTATAACAATCCAGACAAGACGTACAACTGGTCGATTCTGGATGAAATAAAATGACCGTGTTACACGGAATCCGATAAGAACAGTCGTAATACGGTGCTAGTAGTTCCATCAAATAGTGCAACCAAACACTAAGATGTGAAGAATTAACTTATGTACCAGTGTTGATTCGCAGTCGAACCGCAGACGGGACATTTTATGGAAGCAGATCACCCCGACAACACCCAGTCACATTGTCATCTTGTTGGCTACTCTGAATTCGGAACAGACATCAAAACCTTTCCCAGTCGACCATATTGACATGACCGGGCCATTTCAGTTTGTGATGCTACGTAAAGTCCCCCAACGTTTCTCATCCCCCGCGAGTTCGACGAGGTTGTCAAAAGCTTTAGGACTGTTCGACGGTGCATGCTTTATCGTGGGACCGCAATTCAGTGATGCACACGACATTTGGGGCACAATCATATATTTTTATTAGTGCAAAAACAAACTGGTTAACAACGTTGGCAGTAGATTGTCCACAATTGCGTGATAAGCTGGCTATTGAGTGCATTCATGAACAGCTCGATGTCGAGTGTAACCGACTGAGCGGAGCACGAGTACTACCCTAGTAGTTGCGGTCTTTAGGCTCTGCCCGCTGACTTAATCTGTTACATTTCCACCAGAGCTAACATAGCTTTCGGGCTATATAGAAATAATAGATATCCGAAAACCAGTGGTCTTTCATACATAGTCAGTAGGGTCTTTCTCCACTCACAAAGGGGCTCGCCCACCCCATTACAGATATGAAAACTTTTAAATGAATGACAGGTCAGTCTGATTGGTTTCTAAGCCGGTGTAAGATTACTTGCTGTACATGCACTCTATAGTTTAGTTAAATCATATTGCTGTTATTTTTTTCCAAGCCGACCGGCTGGTCTTTAGGAAAAAAGGCCTACACGGGACACACCGGATCTGTTGAAGATATTCAGTGGTCAATTACTGAGCCCACTGTGTTTATATCAGTGTCATCGGATCGGAGTATTCGCGTTTGGGATACACGCAGTCCACCGAACGCTGGGAGCATGCTGACCGTACCGGACGCGCATACAGCTGATGTGAACGTTCTTTCATGGAATCGTCTTCAGTCGACTAGTCTGCTTACCGGAGGCGATGATGGTGCTCTTCGAGTATGGGATCTAAGACTTGTCCACAAACGCTATGCGCCCGGAGGGAAACCAAACAAAATTCCTGCTTACACTCATGTTTATGATGTACGTTTTCACTGCTCCGTTGCTGTTCAGATTAGGACATATCTTTGTACTCTAAATACTACTGTGTAAGAGATTAGCTTCCCTAATCCTTCATTTAGTCATAATCTCTGTGCCTTGTCACTCGATCGATGCAAAATAGTATTATTTGGTTAATGAGGTTCACAACGGTGTGTTCACCTCTCTCCTGCACAGCTCCGCTTTGTTCGTTTCTCGACATACACTTTGAAACATTCCGGTCTTTCCGCATAATCTGAGTGGAGGCTTTCAACGGTGTGAATCACACTATTTTCCAAACTATGGACTTTCATTCTGTTCTAGAACGAGTGTCGTATTTTAAGAACTTAGTTTATATTGCATTTTTTATCGTTCAGCTGTAACACCCGGTGCCTAGCTGCCATGCTACCCGAAGGAAGCACGAGGGCCGGGATACTGCCAGGTTGCCCAAGCCTAAACAGGAAAAACCGAGAGCCAGAGGTCGGGTTCGAACCACGGACCTTCCGGCCAGTAAATTCGCGCTCTAACCACTTGAGCCATCTCGCCCCAACGATTGCTTCCTCATGTTCTGCTTTTTTACAAAACTGTTTGTTCGTTAAATTTTCAAGAGCTACTCACAGACTTTTGTGTCCCGATGTGTTTATCCCGACATGTGACATTTCATGGAATTCCCCTGTGAACTTCTGCCCTGCCTTGCTCTTTTCTGTTTTCCTGTTTCTTAGTATCACACGAAACCCATAACCTCTGTTGAATGGCATCCGAACGATGCTGGAGTGTTTGTTGCTACGAGCGAAGATGATCAAGTAACCATTTGGGACACCACTTTGGAGCAAGCCGATCAGCCTATGGACGACGCATTGGCAAAGGGTGACGAAACTGCAAACTTACCGGTGCAACTCTTGTTCATCCACTGCGGTCAAACGGAGATTAAAGAGGCGCACTGGCATCCCCAGATTCCCGGACTTTTGGTAGTCACTTCAATCGATGGTTTCAATGTGTTTCGAACGTGTAACGTGTAGGAGATTGCAGTTATTGCATATTTTACAGTTAAAAGTGATTTATTTTCCGAAAAATGGGTTTCAAAAGCCTTTTTATTACGACCTGTTCAACAAGATCTTTTTTACCCTTTTGCCCATCTTAGGGACTTTGTGCTATCTTCATTCTCACAAAGGTGTTACTTATTGGCGATTTCGGTCACATGGACCTCATACTCGTGGATACCCGTAGATGAGATTCATTGAACGGTCCAACGCAACTTTCACCAACTTGGTTGCTACGGGTAGTAACATTGAATTTTTCGATTAGGGGATTTGAATGGGCCCTGCAACCTGAACGGTTTCTCGAACGAACTAAGTAAAACATTTGGTGCAATAATCAAAGAGCTTTTGGCGGACGCTGTTCAAAGTCATGCTGCCTACTGTAACTTCTAAATGGACTCTCGTGATCTGCAAAATGGCTGTTTAGCGGAATAGGAGGTAAACAGGCCCTATCGTATCCTACCAGATATGAGCAGACAAGAGATCCAACCGAGTCACTTGTGAACAGTGATGTAATTTAAAATTGAGTGCACTTCGTTAAAACCCCACCTACTGCTTTGGGCTGGAGTTTCAATTCCTGGTATCGAATTCGCGCTTTTGTCTGCGGACCGCAAAATGTCTTTAGGTTTCAGTGCCCCTTTTCCATTGATATCCTTCCCCACCCCACACTCTGGTCCAGCCTTCCATCCAAGAAACTGGGAATGGCTCCTCTGGCTGTATGCTGACCTATTTCTAACCAACATCAACTTGCACCATACACACAAGGCCACAAAGCACAGATCAATCCTAGTCATTTGTATCACGTGACTTTTGGCTTCCAGTACGTTTCGATATTATCGTAACTCGATTCCGGCCATACAATACTGCATGCATTTCTGGGAATTTTCTACTTCAACACGGCATGTCAGTCTATCGCTGGCGATAGACGGTTTCCGTCTGAGCCAACTCAAGGGCCTTCCAAATTCAACCGACGGTATTCACTAGAATAGGCATTTGGGTTATGTCAGAAAGCACTTAAAGGAGGCTTTCCTCACGATATTTAAAGCCCTGTCTACCCCTCCCACATGGTCAAACAACCACTGTATTTTGTCTGCGCCAGCAATCTTGAATGATATCATGATCTGTAATGGCAATCAGCGACAGTGGTGTTACAGACAAATGATTTATGAAACGTCAAGTAGTGAAATCTTAGAAATGACAGAGTGGTGGTGAATATCGAAAGCTCATGAGATAGAGAAGGCTTTCGCCATGGTCCATCAACTGGTTCGATCAACCTGCCAGAATTAGGCCACCTTCAGTGAAGCACTAAACACGGATTTGTCGAACCCCCGTAGTAATAGATCCGTGAAGGGATTCCGTTCTAAAGGGGTGTGCGTAGGTCACATCCACTGGCTACCACTAGAACAGCACCAGTGTTCAACGGCCGACATAGCTGGTCTTTCTCATTTACGGGTTGATGTCTATCAAGCACCGATGTTCCATCCAAAAGCCTTATGTGCCGATTCCGGGGCCCAATGTGATAAATTCTCGTCCGAACGCTGACATGCAGCGGTGTCAGACGGAAATATCCTTCGTCCTCGTTAAATTTCTTATCGATGTGCGGATGGTGCAATCGTTATCCATTTTTACACTTTGAAGGATCGAGATACTTTCAGAGCACCCGTGTGTAGGCGTTGAGTAAGGCTCTACTCGGATCGGATAAGGTAAAAAAAATCAGCTGCATCGTGTGGTGTGCGCTTTGGACCTGAACTTAATACTTGCGTATGTGGTTGAAGAATTTGTTTATCTTGGTAACTGCGTCGCTTTCGGTGGTCTGATTGAGGGTGAAGGCCTTCGAATCGGGGAAATAAGAACCGCTTTCGACGGTATACAACGCGTCAGTTCGGTATCAGTCTGTCGTTAGATAGGTCGAGATTTCCCACTGGTCTGGGACGGTATTCTCATTGCTGCACTGCTCGAAGTGCTTTTTAGCTAGGAACCCCGAAATTCGCACCAGTCGGCTTTACTTTTTTCATCCTTTCCCCTCCCCTAAATATGGGGAATTGATGTTCGCATGCGGTGTCCATTGGTCAGTTCAACTTTTAAACTCGTTTGCAAACATAATTATTGTGGTTGCAGCCTCCAGCTATGGTCGAGCTGCTGAACAACTGAACGGATGTATTTTTATACCGCATGTATTTCTACAGTCGTCCTTAAACNGCTGAACCACTTAACGGATGTATTTTTATACCGCATGTATTTCTACAGTCGTCCTTAAACTGGAGAATTAATCGAATTCCTTTCAGGGGTGTGTCGTACTCCGTGTTTTTTAATTTGTCGCTTGGCCGATCTCACGATCACTCGTACTTGGCTTCTTGTCACTTGAACTAGTTTTTCGTCAAACTTGCATTACGTAGATGGTTCTGAGAAAACATTGGATTTCATATGACTTCAAGTTGAACAGTTCACTGTAAAGTTCCACCGTAACGTTGAGTCAGCATAATGTCCTGAACGAGTAATCTATCCTCATGAGGCATTGACAGGTTAACGTGGATTCATATTGCGCTCGGTGGTGAAATCCAATAGGTCATCTGCGTACTGTTTGGTAAAAGAAACACTGAGCTATTGTGAATTTCTCCACGATTTTGGTTTCGGAAATATCTACCACTGTTGTTCCATGCCTACCCCATCATCTTAAAGTCCTTGGCCAATCCTTCGTTCGTCAAGCTGAACTCTCGCTCGTAACTGAAAAACGTCTCTGAAAATACTTCGCTTGCCAGTTACTGCAATCTCTCAGAATTACTCGTTTCGAATATATGTTTCATGTAGTCAGCATGGTCTAAGTGATATTTCCGCATAAATTTTAACTTAACAACTAAAACGTGTTTTAAAACTGGCAATTCTTAATAGAGGGGATAGCGTGGGATAAATTAGGTCGGACATGTCGTTGTATGAGGATAATTGATAGTATGAGGATATTTGAAAATCCACAACGGAGACTTCTTGATGTAAGTGAATGCAGTCCATCCTGAAAAGCCGTGAAGCATTGCACAATTATTTCATCTTTATTGTTGATTATCGTCGGTCTGGTGCATGCTTTCGCAAGCGACAACATGTGCCCGTAGCATCGCTGTTGGCGTCACATTTGGGCCTTGGCTTGAATTTCCAGACGTTTAGGTGTACCGACTCAGATGGGTGCTGGACCGTTATAATCACTGCCATTGAAATGGACTCAATGGCTTCTAGTACATCTAGTGAGACTTGACACTGGTATTTAGTTCTCGAAGCTACTTATGACTATGCAAAAATACTTGACCAGAAATCACATCAACGGGCTTGTCCTTCACAGCAGTGCTTAACATTTCGTAATTTTGCTGACAAACGTATATCGCCATCTAGTGAATAGATCTTAGCCCCGTCATGCTTTCGCTTCTTCAAAGGCAGCGTCTCCTCAGTGGCTTCTGTAAAAACAAGAAATGTCATCCAGATTCGTCTGTTGAACGCGTACAAGGATGTATAATTGCATTAGCGCTACTTCAGTACGCAGTGCGTCTTCCTCTCTGCGTGAGATCGTCAATCTCCTTACTTATTTGAACAATGAACTCTCTACTTTGAGCCACAACAGCTTTATAATTTTATTTCAGCAGAATAATGAGCGTATTATGTGCGGATGACCTTGTAGTGGTTAACGGCCCCGTGGAGACTCCAGTGAGAAGAGCAGATTACTACTGTAAGTCAGATACAATGTCACAAGGCGGAAAATCCAAGTTAATCTTGACTCACAGTTACAATGGAAAATTCCGTATTCCGTTGAACCACCACACCAAGGTGTGAATAGATGAGTCGAGCGTTTGTAGCTAAAAGTTTTGTTCACGTTTGGAGTTGGAGTGATTGCCAACCGGCAATCACTCAGCTAAAGTCCCAAAGTCACGTTGGGCCGAAAAAACAGGCGGTTGCGATTGTATTTCAGTAAAACAAAATTTTGTACATTAGTGTGACCGATAGTGATGGGAAGAAGCAAGATGATACTGAGCATGAAAAAGCAGTTTACAAGTGCTACAACCTCGTCATTCGGACAAATAGACGAAACCAATCGAATTTTTGTGTCACATTAAATACTAGTAACACATCTACTGATCTGTTTCGGTCGAAACCAGAGGTGTGTCGCACCCTACCAACCAACAATCCCCGGCTAGCATATCATCGGCCTGGCACCGTGTTAATGGCTCTCAACATACCGGAACGTTCTAATTGGAAGCTTTCCTTTCGGGGACAATCGCCTCACTCTACGGGACCACAGTCATCCTAAGCCGCCGTTTAACCAACTTTATTCGCTTTCCCATTTAGCTACACTACCTCTATTGGTATTCACACGTTACTCCATGAGATGTTGGATTTTGTTGAACAAATCCGATAGTATGAACTTGCTGGCTTCCTAGACTGGTGATTACTTGGGTTGAATTTAGCGCAAACATTTGTTTCTTATGCTGTTTGTTTTTACCGGTGGCCGTTGGTCAGAGTCATATGTTCAAAGAAAACAGAGCAGCCAACAAAGGGAAGGTTGACGGTTCGCTGATGAACTTGACCCATTGGCTCGAATTCCACTTGTTCATACACAAGCGATGGTCAGTTTGGGATTGAACGTCGTTCATACCGGTCAACCCATATGCTAGCAGGCCCCTCTGTGAAGCTGTTCGTTCGTTTACAGAAATACTAGATCTGTACATCATATCGAGACTGCACAGAGCAATCGAAATTTGGCCGAATTATACCCCCAGAAATGTGTCGGATAGGTGATCAGATTTTAATACAGACTGTTTGTCGTTGGCGTGTGATTCAATATTCTTGTCCAGAAAGATAAACCGGTGAACTTTCGAAGTTGCTGTCACCGGGTAACACATTGGCACAGCTGATTGAATTTCTTGAGTTTATTGTCATTGGGAAGTTAGTCCTTCCTGAGGATTTTTTTTGGCTATGGATGATTTCTTCCAGAACTCCATGGATTGTATTCGTGGTTTTGTAGCAGTTGGTATCAAGAAAGTTCATTGTTTGTCCCAGCTGTTAGGTGAAACAAAATCCGGGTTACCAAATTTCGTATGTTTCACGGAACGCTGACACTTGGTCTTCGCTTGCGTTGGTGGGATTTGCGTGTAAACTTATGTTCTTTAGATGGTTCGAATGTTATCGGCCGTATGTGATGGTGACCTGATTTGTGTCCTAATTTTCAAAAACCAATACGTCAAAGTTGACTTATCTCAACTAGTGTTTCCTATAACGAAGTACACGTATTTGTGTCCTAGGAATAAATAATTGTGTTCATCCGAACGCCTCGGCTTTACGCGGCGTTGTTTAGCAGCAGATGTAGACGAATATGATGTTTTCTATGTTTTTCGGCCTTTGACAAACGGGTAATGAGCCTGCCTACCGGTTTGCACAAGCAGGAAGTCCACACTAGGGGGGAAGCTTGGTCGCGAAAGTCACATTGACTACCACGCAGTGAGCTTACCGCTCGACAGGATGTTATAGCACAACTACGTTGAGATAGCGAGTGACAGCCAATCGCACCAGTGATCAGCCGGTTTAGTGTTCAAACGCTTCCCGGAAGGTTCTGGTGATGAGAAACATTAATTCGTTTGAGATCCGGGTCTTGACACGCACAAACAAACACGGAATCCATAGTGTTTCGTAGGTGATCAGCCGGTTTGGTGTTCAAACGCTTCCCGGAAGGTTGTGGTGATGAGAAACATCGATTCGTTTGAGATCCAGGTCTTGACACGCAGAAACAAACACGGAATCCATAGTGTTTCGTATCTCGAACCAGTATTCATTTGGTCGACCGTTTTCTCCCTTTTTCTCAAGACAACTTCTGACAGACCACTCTG